CTGCCTAACTTTATCCTGTTTAGCTATTGACCAGTCAGCTTCTTTATTAAACCAATCACAGTAACATATAGTCAACGAGTGTAAAGGAATATTCCGTATTTCCCCCTTTTTGTCTAATTAAAAAGAAGTTTTTAACGTTAACATAGTAAGATTATACACCACAAAAATAATTATCAGGTAAGAATTACAATATCTTGTATTTGGTGAAATTAGAGAAAATATTCTATCATCTATTTATTTTACCGTTGTGACTCTAAAGTTTTATACCTAATTTTATTTTCATAGGCAAGGACTATTGTACCTAAGGGTGGCCTCGAACTCCCTTTGTATTAGTCACAGATGGCTTTGAAGCCATCCTCCCCAATGCTGGGATTACAGGCACCTAGTGCTATACATGGCTTACATGGTACAAAGGATGAAGCCCAGGGCTGAATGCAAACTAGGCAAGCACTCTAACAACCGAGCTTCATCCTCAGCTTTTCAGCCTTAGTTCTTAAGCAGTTTCTGGGTCCAGATCCCAGCTCTCTGAATCCCTGTAGAGTGTCTCTCTCCATCAACCCTTCCCTGCCTGTGGCACTTAAAAGTGGAGCAAATCCAGGCAAGAAAGGGACAGCAGCATGACTAAGTGTTCTGTAGGAACAGTCAGTAAGGGACAGGTGGCATGTGGGCCAGTGGGGTGTCTTTCTCAATTCCTTCCAGTTCTCAGATGGGTTTCCTTCTTCCTCTCTTTCTCTTCTCTCCCCTCTTTCTGCTCCTTTTACTCTTCCTCATCATCCTCCTTCCCCCTCCCCCTCTTCTGTTCTTTGAGACAGGTTCTTATGTCCGTCCCTCATGCTGTCCTCAGACTCACTATGTAGCCAAGGGTGACCTTAAGCTTTTGATCCTCTTGCCTCTGTCTTCAAAGTGCAGGTGTTACAGGCATGCAGCCCCCTGCACATATGGGCACTGCCTCCCCTTGCCTATAGTTGTCTCGTTTAGACTTTGAGGCTTTGCTGTTGCAAGGGCTTTCTTTCCTGGCTGACCTGGTGTCCTAGACAGAAGGAAAATGAAAGTGGTTTGAGGTTTTATTAACCACTGTTTCTGCATTTTAACTTTTTCAGTCAGGCCAAGCCTGGGGTAGTTCTGAGTCAAAGAAACCGAGAGCCAGAACCACACAGAGTGAAAGAATGAGGAAATGGGCTGGCTGTGATTTGCTGCCATGACCAATATAGCTTCTTGGAGAGCCATCAAGTGCCTATCTTAGGTCTGCCTGAATCTTCACACTATCCTGGGAGATGGGCTTGTAACCATCCTGGTAGGAGTGAAGACATTGAAAGAGGTATTTGTACCCATCCCTTCAGCTATCAAACTATTGGGACAAGGGACCTCAAGAAATTAGAATCTTTCAAGAAGCCTCATTCGGGTGAAGGGAAAGGCCATGGAGCCAGGCAGAGGAAAGCTTGTCTCTCAAAGAGTTGCTGCAGCGTTCTGACAACTTACTCTTCAAAAGAGACTGGAGTCCAGACAATGACCCAATGACCTCACCTTAACCATGACTGCTTAGCTATGCATACCCCTTGCTTGCTATTTAAACCTAAACCCCATGGCATGACCCTAAATTTGGACTCGAGGGGTTCACTGGACTTCTTTGTTGTTCTTGTCAATGTATTCATAGTGCATCAGATCTCCTTTTTCTGCTTGTCAATATTACTTTGTCTCTTTAGTTGGCTTTTTGGGGATAGATGGGCCAGCCTAGTTTGTGAGGGCTGCCATGCCCTGTCTCTGTTACAGGATCTACTATTTTCAAATGGTGATTTGGTTGTGGAGGCTCAGACGACGGTGTCTGAGACTTTGAGAGCAAAGTAGCGTTGCCTGCTCACTTGAGTGTCTCCATTGGCTCAGTTACTGTTCGTTTCCCTCCTTCTGTTGGGTTTTCTAAATTCTCATTCTAAATTCCCAACTTTTACTTAGCCAATTAAGATGATAACTGTTAAGTAATCTTACTTTAAATTTACAGAACCTTGATCTTCATACAACATCGGAATGTTTACTGCCATTCCATATTCTCTGATTCCGGGCATCAGATAACACAAAACGTTTAAGTTGCTATGATGCTTAGCTTGTAGGAAGTAGTATGTTTGTTCTAGGAGTTGCCCATTGCCGCCACCGCCTTCTCCCCTTTCTTATAAAAGTCCTTCGTTGGGCTGGGAAGATAGCTTAGTGGGTAGACTATGAGGATAGGATTCCCAGCACCCATGTAAAAAGTTGGCCTTGGTGGCACATACCTGCACTCACCGCAGTGGGGAGGCAGAGAAAGGAAGATCCTGGGGTTTCCTGCCAGGCAGACTAACTGAATCAGTGAGCTCTTGGTTTAGTAAGTGACCGTGTCTCAGAAAATAGTGATTGAGGAAGACACTTGGCATCAACCTCTCTCCACTGTGCCCCTCCCCCACAGACACCACACACACCACAAACTTTGTGCCCCCAAGTTTCCTAGATAGGGCTCTGAGGCAATATGCCATATCTCCTCAGGGTGCCAGTCTCTGAATAGAATTGGTTTCTTTTCACTCAGTCTCCTCTCTCTAGAGGAGGGCTGGCATTCAGTGGCAAGCACCTGGACAGGGGTCCAGTAACTGCAAGGTGTTGGTAGAGGGACTGGATTTTTATATTTCTCGGAAGTCTGCATTGCTAATTCTAGTCAGTTCCTGCTCCACAGATTGCAGCTAGCTCACCCTGTTGACACTGGCAGGAAGCTTATAGGGCAGCACAAATTCAGTGGTCACAAACCGTGCCTGCTGGGGGTCAGCATCACCTGGAAATGTGCTTGTTAGAAATGCCCATTCTTGGTTTCATCCTAGAGCTTTCTGATAACTTCTAGGGGTTGGGTACCATTCAGGGACACAACACACACCTAGCATGTCCAAGTCCCCCAGAACATTAATTTTTAAAAAAGACATTCTTGGGAGAGGTTTGGAGTATAGTTTTTGACTTTCAACACCACACTTTTACCTACTCTTGTAGAATTTTTAAATTGTGGGGATGGCCAAATAATCTACAAATCTGACTAGCAACCGTCCTTGCTTGATATCTGGATCCCACAGTGGGAGTAGAGAGCCATTTCCTGAAAGTTATCCTTTGACTTCTGCACTAATAATAATAAGTAAAATAGGGATTGAAACAAACATGCAGACAAGTTGAGGGTGGTGATATATGCTTGTAATCCCAGTGCTGGGAAGGTGGAGGGTGAAGGATCCTGAGTTTGAGGCCAGCTTGAGCTACATAGTGAAAATGTGTGCCCAAAACAAAGAAAACTTGTAGATAAAGACTACTTGGAAGTAGATGACTTGGCTCCTTTCCTTTTTTTTT